TTTTTTTTGCTCATTTCAGTTTCTTTTCTCGTGTTTCTCTTTATATAAAGATTGCATCTGCATCATGGTTCGGTTTCACTTAGAAGGGAGTTTGTCATGTTCAGCTCTCAATCCTTCCACATTCCAGTATCACTCCTTATTCTATTTTCCTGTTAGATAAATTAATTAGCTCCTTTGTTAAGTAGATTAATTCAATTGTTGGTATATCAATCTTGTGTAGTTTAGATTTAGAATTTTTGGGTTTAGTAGAGAATAAGTATGCTCTTTCTCTGTTGTTAATTTAGTTCAACAACGAGTCCAGAAATAAGTATGCCCAACCACCCTTGCCTGTCTGGGAAGGGTTGGAAGAGGGTTCCTCCCCAAGGACCTATGTATTGGACAATGGAAACGTGAGTCATGCCTCTGATTTCAATGCTATGAGTATCTGGACGTTTCGTGAGGGGATGTGTATTTGACTACTAGGCGCTAATTTTTCATTTGAAAATTTGATATTTATTAGTTTTCTTCTATGGCTACAGGTTTCGAAAGGACTTGTTGAGACTCAGGAGAATACATCCGAGGTTCTTTTCCCTTTTTCACTTGATCACTAATTAATAATTAATGATTTGGAATGTTTTTAGTACTTAATTCAGTGTCTTATTTTTCTTGGGTTGGTCATATTTAGAGTTTACTTAATATTTTCCCATCTCCCCGTTTCTGTACATGTTTTCAGTTGGAGGACCACAGGGATCACTGTGTAAAAACATATTAGTTATATGAGGTTCTATACTTGGAATATTCGAGTGGTTCTTATTTTATGTAGTGAAAAATGAGGGTGCTATTGCAAAGATTGTAAATTACTTTATTATCTAGAAAATAGATCGGAGAATTGTAACGTGTATTTTGGGATGTGCGTGTTTAGTGTTTAGTCAATGACGCTCAACACTTGTTTAAAATTGATCCTTAACAATCAGCATTTTACGAGGTGCACGGTGGTCCTTGTCATGGAGTCGGTGGCTGACGTGCTGGTCGAGAAGGTGAAGGCTCGGGTGGCGAAGCTAAACGTCAAACTCAAACCTCATCTGTTGGATCAGGATTCGTTCGTTCATTCCAAGTAACCCCCCTCCTTTCGTCTTAGCTTGACCTCAGCTTTTGACTCTGTGTGTTGTGCTGTTTTATGAATGAGAATGGTCTTACAAGTGGCTCTTTTTGCTTGTCATCTTTTGAGGTGTTGTCTTGAGGATTCTTTGCAGGCATTTGTCAACATTATGAATGGATCGTTCTCAACTTTTGTATTATTAGTCGTTTTCTGTGTTTTCGAATACCTACTGCTGCTTCTGTTATAAGCTTGTGACTATAACTCATTACGATAAAACCACTCATTTATAAGCAACTGTTCCCGCAATAACTCGCACGATTACACCTTTTTCTTCTTTTTTGTTGAATTCTGCTGCAGGTCAGAGTTAGAAATAACTTTTTTCTTCCTTTCGGCAGAATTCTCGCACACGCTGTCGGCGATAGAGGCGTGAGCAGGTGAAACAACTCCCCATCCTCATTCCTCTCACAAACCCTGCCCACGAAATTACTCTCATTTCCAATTTGTCCAGCACCACCAAAAATCCACCACCGCAGAGCCTCCTTCTCCTCTTCTCCCTCTCTCTGTTGTATTTGGTCTCTCTCTTGGTTGCGATTCGCCACTGCCACGCCAATGCAATGTCCTGGATCTACATTTTTACTATTCAGGTTTTGTTATTTCATTGTTGTTGTTGTTTTTTTTTTTATTCTTAAACTTTGGTTGTGTTCCCAACAGTTTTTTGATAGAAGAAATTGATTTGGTTATTTGAGTGTCTTGTTATGAGTTAGCAAATAATTCAAACTAGCTATATGTTTTGTTTTTTTTTTTTCATTTTCTTTTTTGATGCACAAAAGAAGAATCAAGCTCCCAACTTTTTGAAGTGTATTGATTTTGAATTCACTTGAGAAATATTAATAATCATGCCTGAAGGTACTAACTTGCTTTTTGCTATATTAATATTAATTTTTATGTTTTGGTTTATTGAAACATGGCATGATGAGTCAGCTATGTTATGAATTAAGATTTGGTGGTGAGTCATGTATATCTAGGAGGTGCATTTCTTTTGGTTTCATATTTAGTGCTTTGATATATGTGATGGCCTTGGTCTTATGAGAGTGTCTTGAATTTAGTTTTTTTTTTGAAGAGTTTGAAGGACATATTGCAATCATCAAATTATATATCCACGATATTCATTATCCTTTATCTTTTTTGTTGGATGTACTTCTTTTAACATTTTCTTAGTTTTTTGTTTTCTTCATGATAGTTTATATGTAGGGTGTTTCTTGTGGGTGCACTTTATTATTCTTGGTTGTGTGAAGTTTTAAACTCAATTTAGTTGAGTAAAAAGAAAACAAAAATGAATTTGTGAGATTTTGGAGAAGCTATATTTGAGTCACTTTCTTGGATTTATAGCTAATAACTTTACCAATGATTTAGTCTAATTTCAGGTTGGTGAAGTATCAGTTTTTAACATTTTGTTCATTTCCAAGATTAAACTGCTTTAGCTCTAATAATATTGTCTTATCTATGAGTTGAGCTAGAATTTTAAATGATAAAGATTATTACCTAGGGTCTAAATGTAAGATTTGATGTTTAGCGTTTATTGGTTAACTTAGACTTTTAGAACCTTAAAATTAAAATACATGCGGCTATGGATATTACTCTTTAATTTACAGGACAAAAATTGCAGTTTTTCAGAAGTTCTGATTGTACTCGAGGAATGAGGCACCAGAAAGTATAGTTTATCAACTACAAGTTCCTCTGTTTTTAAATGCGTAAAGAATGTTATTTTTTTTTTGTATTTATATACTTCCATTTTTGTTGCTCATTTGGGGATCTTTTTCTTCCACCTGGAGTATTGGTTTGCCATTATCATGTTGATAAAGACTCATTAAATCATAGAAATGTCTATCAACTGGACAAACATATTATATGTGAAACAACTGCAACAAATGTCAAAATATAACCTACAACAAGTGATGACAAATTTTTAGTGTATTTTTAGACCGAATTCGGACGTGATAAATTTTCACAGTAGTTTTACACTGGGTGTTAGACCGCCGTGCGTGCACGGCGTAAACCCATCTAGTATATGTATATATGTATATATATATATATATATATATATTTTGTCCCCTCAGCAAATATAAAGGAGCAAACCCCCGCAGCCGTACTGTGATCGTCTCCTTCCTTCAACCTGCACATTCTCGCGGCCTTCATCAGCACCATCGATCATCATCCTCGAATCATCATCAGACTGCCATCAACATCATCGCTGTATTCATAAACGTTGACATCTTCCTCGCTTGAACTCGCAGCAGACCACCACTTCCGATCGCGAATTTCCAGG